ATGAGACAGTCACTATAGCCCTGACAAGAAGTGGGCATTTTTAGTTAAGCTGGTTCTTTGTGCAATTCCCAATATACACTGTCCTCACCACAGCTTTAGCATGATGTGAAAGATAAGCACAGGAGTGCCGAGAAAAGCTGACCATAAACTGGGAGTCCCAATCCAGACCATGTGGGGAAAACTACATTCAAAGGCACAGGAGACCGGGACCTGCACAAGCAAAACCAGCACCTGACAATCACACACCAAGCGGGTCCAGGAGAACTTGCACCAGTTTTTACAGAGCACAGCAATCCGCTTCTCATAAAGCAAGTCATCGTTGGCTGTAACCAGCTTCAAGCAACACTCGATTCCCAAATACATTTAAAACAATTTTGGAAAGAGATAGCAGCAGCCTGGCACAGGCTTAGCTGCCTGCTGTGCCTGCCTCTCCTCTGGTGAGTGGGAAATTGAGACAACACCTCGCAGCTTAGTGCTTTCATCGTCAGCACGCTACCCTCAAGTTACACAGTGAATGCTCCCCCTCCACCCCCGTTTCCACACTGCAGCAACAGGCAGAGATCAGCTAGAGACACCTCTCTGAAGATGCTTTCCTTATATTCCCAATATTATCATTTAACAATGACAGCAAATCAACAGCCTAGAAACAGCACACCCAGAGCCCAGGAACGATAAGAAAGCCCAGGAACGGTAAGAAAGCCCACAAACACTCGTAAACTCAGCCAAGACTTGCAGCAATGTGCACACACATGCTGGCACACGGATTTTTTTTTCCACAGGAGATACAGACCTGTCTGTATCTCCGCTCCGAGCACACCTTGCAGAGTCCATTGAAGCGGTTCATGGCTGGAAGAACCTAAACTCGCCGTTAGCCCATGAAAATCCAGTCTCCTGAAGCAGCCGTAATCCCGATCTCCTTGTATCACATGAGTGTGGAACAAACCACAGTCAAACTGGCATGACCGCCCATGGGAACCCAGCTCCAGAGAAGAATGGCAGGAAGCCACCTTTCACCTCCCCAGCCCCTGTCTGTGCTGTATGCCGCTTTACGATAAGCCAGAGGGCTTCCTGAAATCCCTAACTGACAAGGAAGAGAGAGAGTTTTATATTAAAATTCCTGTCAACTATTTAGTATTCCCTAGTCCCTGCTCTGTTGATGTGGCTTTTGTTCCTGCGGCATTCTTCAGCCGCACGGAGCACTTTGTTATTGCAATGTTCTCACAAACACTTTGAGGATGTTTAAGCAGCGTTTCACAGGCACCGGCTGTGCGAGCTTCACTTCATTAAAAAGACAGCTTGCACTCGTTACACTCATGAAGTATAAGAGAGATCTTTTTGGGTTAAAAAAAAAAAAAGAAAAAAAGAAAAAGTGGAGTTTGTTTTTGAAAGCACAGACCCAGAGGATACGCACGTCCCGATGCTCTGCACTCACAGAGGGGGAAGCAGAGAGGTCAATTGAATTGCACCCATGGTGTAATTTTGGAATTAAAGACAAAGGGAAACTCTTAACCCAGCCAGCAGCAGGGCACAAAGCAGGACTCAGCGAGTCTGCACCGTGCAGCCCCGACAGTCAGCGCTGCGGCACAACCCCTTGGAGAAGGGGTCGCAACGGAGAAGAAAGCACCTTCCACGCTCCTATGTGGGGATGGAAAAGTGAGAAAAGGCTCAAGGGA